TTTGCTTTGAATGCGGGTAACTAGGAAACAGCCAGCCTTCTGCGAAGACGGAATTTCCAACGTGTAAAATGTTCTTAACGGAACCATTGAGCGAGTGCAATAAGGCGTGAGGGGGAACTAATCTTCCCATTTAAATGTTTGTGGCAATTTTATCTAAATGAATTTTAATGCTAAACGAGGGTAATTCCCCATTTGTAGCGCGTTTACTTCTCTTTCCTGTGCTTCTAAAGCAGTCGAACATCATGCGATGAACAATAACAATAAAAGTACTGTCAGGGCATATTATTCATTTTGAATGTGTTATAATTACAGCTGATTAAATATGAGAGGGTAAAATATTTTTTAATTTAAAAAATGAAATCATGTTAAAAAAAGAACAAGTTGCCTCGTACCCGCAGCGTTTCCACGACCCCCTCCCCGCCCCTCCCAAGTCCACTCCAAGGCAGGTACGATTGTGCGCCCTCAGTGGAAGGAGGGCGTTTTGTTTTTGCCTTTTAAGAAATCTAACAGCACTCGTAGCTGCGCCAGGACTCCCCTCTTTCAGATAAGGGTCCTCAAACCCCGGAGCTGGCTCTGACGTGTACAAGAGGAAAAGTGAACGTCGCATCAAAGGGGCGAGAAGACCCCCGGGAGGGTCTGCCAAGACCAGGGCTCCCACAGGCCCGCGAACACACAACAGCAGAGCTGGCTTTCTTTTCCAGATGGACTGATGGCAACGCTCTCGATCCGTGGGATCCTCCACGTTTCCTAACTCGTCTTCACTCGTACCTTTCTCCTGCCCCTCCCCCTCCCCCCACCCCCAGCCCCCCTTGCGGGTCTCGCAGTCTCTCTCCCTTCCTCCGCCCCTTTCCTTTCCCTCCCCCATCAGGCTGGAGTCACCAGCAGAAGAAAGGCTTGGGAAGAAAAAGAAAAGAAAAAAAACCCAGCTCACCCAGCCAAGTGCTAGGGGAGGAGGGGCAGCTGGGACGTTGGTGTATAAAGTTTATTATTAATTTTAAAAGTAAATAAATGGTTGTTAACTGCTAGTAACCACCTACGAAAAGAGAATGGTTTCACTAAGGCGGACTCTTTATGGAGAGGAAGAATTGCCGCTGGGTCAAAATGGGAAATTTAAACAAGCCCATCTAGGGGGGAGGGGTGGGTGTGGGTGGAGGTAGGGTGGGAGGGCGCCGAGGCTGCCAGGTCTCCCTGTGCCCGTCCACGTGTTTCGGAACAAGGCCCCATAAACAAGAGGTGAGAGTGAGGCTGCCGCTCCAGCAGGTGAGTCAGTCAATCACACGTCACCCAGTAAACCCAACCAGCGGCTGGTTTCTCTTTTCAACTAGAAAATAGAATTGTTGAGGGCGGGTTTATGGGGTGACGGGAGCCTGTCAGCCTCGAGTTTAAGGCCCTCTCCTCAGACCCATCCTTTGTTTTCAAAGCAATCACTGCTAAAAGGCTTCTTCTTCTTCTTCTTCCTTTTTTTTTTTTTTTTTGGTTCTCTTTAAACAAATTTGCCTTAATTAAAATATTTGTATATTTCCCTTAGCTTTGTGAAGCACTTTTTATAGCAGCAATTTTATTTAAATAAAATTATAAGCTATTCCAGCCTAAACATGTTATTTTGTACCATTTAGCTGGCTGCCACGCAGAAATTCTGTACAGCTGTTCTGGAAAATTGGTTAATAACCAGTTTTTATCCAATGAGAACATAGAGCATATTTATAAAAATTAGATTTTGAAGTCTGGTCTCTTCAGTTCGCATAGTTAATTTGCTAATAAGCTCATCCTAGGTAACATGCTCAGTGAAAAGCCTGTGCTTTGAACGCAGAGCCATTATTATGTGCAAGAATCCTTCCACTGCTGTTGGAAAAGTAATTCTACGGGATGTCACGAGTTCACGGTCGGTTTAGGGCCCTTCCTTTAGCCTGACCTTGGCTGATATTAAGAGTTCATGGAGTCGGTTTAAAGAAATCAGAGCTTGTTGTTGAGTCATTTCGTTTGTGGCTAAAATCTTCGAATATTCATGTCTTGAGGCGCTCCAATTAATTTCTATATGGACTGCATTCATCGCTAAAAAATTTGGAGGAAGGGGGTCAGGAAACAAATGTTTCAAGCAGTAGAGTCAACATGACAAAAATAATCTTGTTTTTATTTTAGATTCAGATTTCATTACTGCACTCAAACGACTACAACTGGGATTGGCGTTATTATACAATCCAAACTGTTTCCGTCAGAAACGCTAAGACTCAGTGTGCAATGATTGTTATTAATAATTAGCTCCTTGGTTTCTTGATAGAAAAAGGCTATCAACAAGCATTTGTTTATCCACAACAAAAAGTATAATTAGCTTATCCCACTTAGTAAATCTTGTATGCATGCCAACTCATACCAAACTGCTACTTTTACAAAAAAAAATTGCAATAATACAGTTCATTTTTCCAGTCCTTTTGCACAAAATTTATTTACAATGTCTACATAAATGCTCCAAGGTGGGACTATGGAAAAATACACACATGACTGATGCTTTGCTCAGAAATAAAGTCAACATATTAAAAATAAATCTTCGGTCTATGTTTTTGAGCTGCATAAAACAGGAAGTGATGTACAAGGTGGTGGTTGTTGCATGGGGACAATGATGCTTGATGTGACAATTAGGCTTCTAAACACACGGCCTTTTTGGTTTCCATGCCTCCTCCTACCAGTCTCCTTAAGACACTGCCTGCAACAGCTGATTAATCATTGTTGATGACTGCAGTTTTTCCCATCCTTCCCGATTTACATCTGTTCAGGCCAATTCAAATATGGTGGGTAAATGAATTAGACATGCAAATTCAAGCCCCGGGCTAGAAAGAGGGAGAGAGAGGAAGAGAGAAGAGAGAGAGAGAGAGAGAGAGAGAGAGAGAGAGAGAGAGAGCAACGCGCATGGCTGAAATCCTAGGCGAGAAGAAAGATTCTTCTGCCTGATAGTTATTTTAATGCTCTAAAAATCCTGCAAATCAGACTTTCCTGTCACTTGCAGGGTAACTGTAAGGCTTTTTTTTTTTTTTTTTTAATGTAAGGAGGCTTCTGGAGGAAGTGACGAGCTATGGAAACAACACACATAGTGTGGAAAAATTTCACATTTTTTTTTAAAAAATCTATAAGCAACAACGTAATATGGAAAACAGTATAATAGCATTTACAATATTTCACTCTTTGTTCTCTTAATGTCTCATATAGTTATTTAGCTTGTCCCCCAAATTGACTTCGGTTGATAGTTCCTGCTTTTTACGAGTCCCTATGAAGAGTTAGGGATGCTCCTTGGTCCAAAGTAGATGCCAAGAATGGAACTCCACAGTCATTGCAGAAAAAAACATGATGTGAAATCAGTCACCATTGCAGACAATGCATATTCCCTTAAGCTACTGAGCATGGATGTCCATGACTTGTCCACTCAGGGTTGGGTCTCCTGTATTAAGAACCGTGGGGCTTGATGCTGACATTGGCATTCCAGGGTGGGGCGGTCCCCCATGCATCATCACTGTTGGGTGGTGAGGGTGTCCAGGAATGTACGTATGCATGGGGGGCCCATGACGCAGCTGAGCAGGATGCGGGGGCATCTGGGGTTGGGTATAACTTGGCTGTCCCATACTTACACCCATTGGACCACCCCGAGCTACATACTCCCCTGGCATACTTGGCAGCCCTGTAGAGATTCAAAAGAAAGAAACAAACAAAAAGAAAAAATTATGAGAAAGCAACAGTGTGTTACGGGCTCTGGCAATACCGAGAAAGCCAGGGAACTTTGGGCTGAAGGGGACATGACTCACACAGATGAAAATAAAACGAGAAACATCCTGCTGGAGACCCCCTTTCATGGTCCCTGCTCCCGGGCCTGCCCACCGAGGCCTTCTGTATTTAAATCAATAAACAAGGCCATGATAGGAGATCCAGTTTGAAGAAGCGCCCTTAGCCGGAGCAACGTGCTCTACCACCAGTGCCCTGCAGTGGCCACCGACCAGCTCACGTGAAGCTGAGCTAGACAGGCTTACGAAGGCGATTACTGAACAAAACCTGCATGCTTAAAACTGAAAAAAAAATCGATGACAGTTATCAATGAATTCCTTCCTCATGGTCTCTGAACTGGGGGGTGGGGTGGAGGAGGGGGTCAGAAAACCTTCACAAAACCCTGTCCACCTAACAATGACTTTGAGAACAATAAGAAACATTGGACCTAAGACAATACTCCTCCTGCTTTGAGGGGGCCTCTTGTCTTCTGCATGGATTGCTGTAGTTGATGGAAACGGACAGCTGGATTGTTTCTGAGAGCTATAAGCTCCATAATCATCCAGGGTGAAAGGCATAACGCTATTGCTAAGTAGGTTCAATTGGCTTCAGTTCTAAGTAATAGTGCACTGTGAATCCGATGAGCACCTTCGAATAAGGTCTCCCGGCTCTAGCAATGAATGGCTGCTTAATCTAGCCTAAAGGAACATTTTGGAATTAATGAAAATTGCTTATAAAATATACTGTACCCACAGCTCTTTAATCAAAAAAGATGATAATATTTTTTGTAATAACCTATTAATTTAATTGGTCACGAAGCATAAAATACATCATTTAAATTTAATTGACCCAGAAACTAAGAAACAATATTTAAATTAACTAAGCTAGAGAATTCCACGATGAGGTAATAAGACTGTTGCATTCCCAAGCTCAGTGGAATGTTTTCGGAGCTAATTGTTAAACTTCTATCCGACTCACACCCGGAGAAGACCCGTATGAATTAGCCTGGCCCCGGCAGTGATTTCAAATAGCGTGTTAATATCATCAGAGGCATACAACGCAGACCCTGAGACCGCTGCTTTTCATTTCAGACACAAAGCAGCAGCAATACTCTTAGGGGCAATTCAGGAAGCACACGGAGCTGTGGTGTGCCAAACACTCTTGACTTGTTGGGACACGAATTGCCGGAGTGTCTCTTTTTAGGCGAGAATCTGCATTGGGTGAGAATCTGGGACAGTCTTCGAAGGCCCACTGCACTAGGCCTGCCACTGAAGAGTGCATTAATGATCTCTATTTTTGTATACTGAATAAGTCAAATCCATTTGTCACACTGCAAGTGATGGCATACTTAATTTGGATATAGTCAATTAGCCTGGGCTAAGCCCTGCAGCCTGCTGTGCACACCTCTATTTTGTATTCTCCCTTCTTCCATTGCCACACGTAATCCCATTATGATGGACAGACAAAGGAATAAACTAAGGGGAAAAAAATCAAAGTTTAGTTGACTGCAGCTCAAAATATGCCTTTACTTACCCTAAGTAAAGCTTGTGTTTATTTTACCTAAAAGAAAGTCTCTGTTTGGCTTTTCGGTGTCTTGCAGGTTAGTGTAGAAATGTAACTCATGCATCAACTGCGGTTAGACAGATTTATGACACTTTGGGGACATGCTCTTTCCTCTCCTTGCACTGCTGCAGACTGCTTACATTTTGCAAATCAGTCTGTTGCTATGACAACCCACTCCCCCACCTCCTGACTGTTTCTTGTTTTGTCATGTGGTCAGTACTGTATAATAGCAACACACAGGATAAATGTACATCATACACAGTATTTATCAGCTTAAAAGCTTGATCACAACCCGGGAGAAAATGAAGGAAGCAAGAAACCAGGAGTTTAATGGAAAGGAATGAACAAGCATGAAGCTATGGGCAAGGAGAACATAAGAAAATGCAAGAGGAAAAACAAAATTATTCCTAGGACAAAGTGAAGACAAAGACCCCATTTGTACTTACTTCCCCCTGGCTTTGCGATTGGTTAACTAGATGAAGGTTACATGTAGTGCCACTGCCCCTCCATGCCCATATTCATGCCCATTCCACTCATAGGTCCTAGAAGGGAGATAAAAATCCGAGAAGAGGCCAGAAAATGAGCAAAGTCAACAGATAGTGCCAAAAGTCCCTTAAAAACAAAAACAGGTTCCAGAGGACTGAGCAGCAGGGAGATCTTCAGCGCATTAAGATCCCGGATTCCCCTCGGTCCTGTGAGGTGCACAGAAGGCAAGCAAGGCAAGCAGGCAGCTTGAGACCACAGCGAGGACGGAGGTGCATTTACCTGTGCTGAGGAGTGGACGGCACTCACGGAGTGAACCATGAGGAACCATCCCCCACCTCCAATCTTACCTGGCGCTCTGATTCCCATGTGTTGCTGACCGTCCATTACGAAGCCTCCCATTGGCTGACCATCTGGGTTATAAGGAGTTCCTTGACTTACTACAAAAGTGCAGAACACGACTTCTTAGTAACAGTTTCCCACAGAGAAAGAACCAGCCAGAAAAGGGCCAGAAGATGCTAATAGAACATGGACCACACAGAGACCCTTTTAAAACGTTCACATTCCTATTGGTCCAGTCCTACACACCCCTTTAGCTCAAGTTTTGAAAACACCAGGCTCAAAACAAAACAAAAAACAAAATAGCTGAGATAAATGCTTCTCTTTGGGTTTCGGCTCTAAGTATGTACCGATGTAACCATTTTCCAGTCCTCTCTAGGAGACGGGCGTTCATAATGAAATCCGACTTGATGAAAGTTGGGTCCATGTCACCCCTGGTGAATGCGCTTCAGCATCTTACTGGTGTGTGTTTGGGGCGAGGGTGAGGTTGGTGGGGTAGTGATACTGGTAGGTAAATAAACCCTAGAAAGATGGCTCTTGGGTTTTTCAGTCCCGCAGGCCAAGATCCCATAGAGGCATTGCAATTTTGAGCACATGATGAAAAAAAAAAAAAGTGGTATTTGTTGTTTTGGTTTTTTTGGTTTTCAAAAAAGGGGAGGAGGGGTTGGAAGACCAGAAGATGAGGATTCACAAGAGAAGGCCTGCGAAATGTGAGCCCGGTCTTTATACCACTACCTGAGTCCCGGGTTCTAACTGTGCATAAAAAGCTGCTTCAGAAGTAAGCTGCCTTGGGTTATTAAAACACACAAAGCTCTACCTCACTGAATGTCTTTGAACTTTACTGAGTCCCACAAGCGATCCTGACCCCTGTGCCCTTTTGACAGGTAATAAAGTTTACAGCAATTCCACACCAAGCCATGCACCAGGGAGTGGTCATCGTAGCAGAAAGAGCTGGGAAGGCAAACTCAAGGTAGGGAGAAAAAAAAAAGGAAAAAAGAAAACACAAATTATTAATATACCGAATGTATACAAAGACTATTGTAGCTGAGCGTCTGATCTGAGAGTTACTTTTGTTCGTTGCCTTTTTCCTTTTCTTTGGGTTCTCGAACATTTTCATGATGTTAAATTGATTAGTGTGGTTATGAAAGGAAGCAGGCTTGGTTTTCGGTGCCAGGCGCTCCTACCACACACTCCCAGTCTATTTACCAGGTAGCGGACCGCCCGGTGGATGGCTTGAGGATGCTTTTCGCTTGCGTGACTTGAATACAGTCACTATGGGGGACTTGCCTGCTCGATTGGACTGGTCTATCATGGGCTGCACTATTCTTCTCCGGGCATTAATAAACCTGCAACCGAGACAGTAAAGCAAATCATTAGTCCTTTAAAAAAAGAAATAGGGAGGGGGGGTGTAGAGGAGGAGAAAGAAGAGCAGACGAGTCCCAGTAGGAGCAGAGCTAGATCTTGGGGACATGGAGCTGCCTCGGTCCCCCAGTGCTCTTCCGCAGCTTCCCGTGGTGCGGAACTTGTAACCCTGGCTGATCTCGGAGTACACAGGCTTGGGGTTTCTGAGTTGATGTATGCTTGCCTGCTTTGCCACAGTTGGACACTTCCATTTCATCTTTGCATGGGGGAATTAGCAGCGTTTTCAGGAAACAATACTAACTAACCACCACTCTTCAATTCGGGAGTGGGGGGCGAGGGGGGGCGAGGGGGGTGTAGAGTCAGATGTTCATAAGGGCATCGGTTACCTCTCCTAATTAGTGACGTTTCCATCTTACATGCTCTGACTCTTTGCTTGTTTGTTTTCTCTTTTACAGTTTTTATCAGAACCTCCTTACCTCTTGCAACCCTAATTCTATTTTAATGCCCGCTGTTAAGATGATGAACTGGATGGCAGTGCACCATCAAATGAGAGGCTGTCTGGAGTTTGTCACCACGGACCCACACTGCTGGGGACTTCAGAGAAGTGCATTCCTTGTAGAGATGGTTTGGATTTTTTTTGCTCTTTATGCAAAGTCTGAGGTCAAGGCAAGGTCACAGCTATACAGTAATTGAACTCACCATCTTGCTTTCTCCAGTTAGCCCTGAAAATTTATAATGAGCATCCTACCAAGACACAATTGTTGTAGCCCCCTGCAGAAATAGTTAGTTTCTGCAAAAATTTCCAAAGAGCTTACTAGGAGCCTTCCAACATCATACTCGTGGAATTTCTAACTTTTGAGATTCACTTGTACTGCGGAATACTAAGAATTACATATGCAATACAGAAAATGAACAGGGCATACTAGATGCTGAAATAGTGAATTGCTTTTAGTCCTTGACTCAGATTTGAATATATCACACACAAGCAGCACATAAAAGAAATACAATGAAAAGTTGAATAATGCGCTCTCATAATTAAAGGAACCATGATCTACTATGAATCCTGGGTCCTAAGTCTGCCCACTTCAGGGGAGAGCACAGTTTCTAAAAGCCAAACCATCACACAAGACTGCGATGGGTTTTAAAGACAAAAATGCATTTTAAGAGTCTCAATACCAACCTGCTTCTTTATTTATTTGTTATTTATTTTCATGATCTGAGCAGGCATTAAAACAAGCCAAGTAGAATCTCACTCAAATGTCCACCTTTGGTGCTAACTCTTATTGGCAATATATATTATATCAGTTCTTGTATATGAAGTCCCTGAACTGCTAATAAAAATATTTAAAACACAGATCTTCAACAAATGGTGTTGCAAATCAGGTTATCATTATCTTGTATAAACCATGAAAATTGGAATCATGTGAGCAGAAGGTTAGATTAATTCTCCATTCTCATTATAAGCACAGGTGTAGCACAAACACCATGTGAAATAACCAATTAAAATGAGAAAAAAATCTGCTTTTTCATTAGCTGCCTTCACTGCATGACCAATTAGAAAATTATTTAATATTAATACTCTGCATATACCAAAAGTAATTTTCATAGTAACTAACAAAGGCAAGAGAGAGAAGAGGGGGAAAAAATAGTACCCAGCTCCTAATCTGCAGGCTTACAGGGAATGAACTCTGCCTGCTAACTTCCGTTTTTAAAGCATGGTATTTTATAGATTTCCTTTTCAAACATAATGTTTTATCGCATTCCTTAAAAAGTAGGAATAGCCCCTTTTTAACAGATGAGAAGCCAAGGCTCAGGGAATTTGAGTGACTTAGTTGAGGTCACATGTTCCCCAGGAGACAGTAATAATTTGCTGAATGACACACAGCTGGCAAATGGTGGCGGAGAAGTGGGACCCTCCTCTCGAACTTCCTGACCAGAGCATGACCACTATTGTGTCAGCCATCTCAGATACCCCAGACTGAGGAGATCGCTCATAATTGCCTGGGTTTGAACCAATTAGCACAGGCAACCACCCTACTGTGGAGGCAAGGAAGGAGTCTGAAGTGAACATTTTGTAGGTTGATGCAGCATTCCACGTGTATATAGACTGACAACAAAAATAAAACCCTCACTCCCAACAAGTGGAGTCCAACTCAGAAGCCCTGTGAGCCAAGGTTAGACCTGGCCCTGTGAGTTTCCAAGATTGCGAGTCTTTATGAGAGTAGAAAATCCCATCTTTCTCCTGTGGAGCAGCTGGTAGTTTCAAACTACTGACCTTGCACATCGCAGCCCAACTCTGGTAACCACTAAGCCACCAGGGCTCCTATGGACAGATAAGGCTGCTCAAAAAGATTCCATGACTTGAGTTATTTATATGCCTGATCTTAATTCCTTCACATTCACACAGTCATATTCCAATAGATGAATTCGAATTCATCAAAACCAACCCAGGTTAGAATTCATGACAATTCTGTACACCAGGGGTCCTCAAACATTTTAAACAGGGGGCCAGTTCACTGTCCCTCAGACCCGTTGGACGGCCGGACTATAGTTTAAAAAAAAAACAACTATGAACAAATTCCTATGCACACTGCACACATCTTATTTTGAAGTGAAAATCAAAACGGGACAAAACACCCAGCGGGCCGGATAAATGTCCTTGGCGGACCGCATGTGGCCCACGGGCCATAGTTTGAAGATGCCTGCTGTGCACTCATAGACTCATAGAAAAAATGCATCCCGGGTGTGTGAAGGGCTTTCCAGGTCCCTTAGTAAGGTCACCAGACTCCCAAGGTGGTGCAAAGGACTCGACTGTTCACCAAAAAGGCTGGCAGTGTGAACTGATCCAGAGGTGCCTCAGAAGAAAGTTCTGGCAACTTGCCTCTGAAAGGTTACCTGTGGAGCACAGTTGTTTGCCGCCATAAGCAAGAGTCCCAGGAATCAGAAAGGACTCCACGGCCACTGGTTATTCGTCATTGGGTCATTGACATGAACCTCCTCTGCCTAACCCCACCAAGTAGATGAGCAGAATTGCACTTGGGGAGGCCACACCATCCACGGGCAAGGCCACAGCCTTCCTTGATCTAAGATCCTACCAGCGTAATGCTTCGGGGCTAAACCATCTCTCTTTTTGAACCTCAGAGTTAAACAATTCTAATATACCACTCATCACCTGGGCCACTTCCTTCTCTAGTCCTGGTGGCGCTGTCAAGTCATCGTTGGCCTGATAGCTCTTGCAAGGTCAGAGGTTCTAACCCATCAGCCGCTCTGAAGGTGAACAGGTAGGCTGTCTGCTCTGGTAAAGATTTATGGCTCTAGACACCTTATAAAGAGTCATTGTAAAGATTTATGGCTCTAGACACCTTATAGAGTCATTATGAGTCGGAATCTCCTTGATGAGTATGGGTAATCACCCTTCCTTAGGATAGCCCTTCAAACATAGTCACCATGTCTCCTGGCTGATGCCTCTCCGTAGGTGAAACATACCTGGTTTTTAATAAGTTCTTTCTAGGATGTGTTTTTGGACCACTCGACCCCTGGGCCACTCTCTCTGCTCAAGGACTGAGGGTTTTCTGAGCTCCTCTTAAAGTGGGTGGTAGCTAACACCAAATGCAGTTATTATTCCAGAATGCCTCTGGCACCCCGGAGAGTGGAAACCCCTCACCATCGTCAATAAGCTAGAGGGTGCTGTTTGCCTCTCTTTGGGGGCCAGGGATTAGCGTTTGCTGTCCATGACAACCTTAGGATAAATCTCACACCCTCTGTCTGCTGTGGAGCTGAACCTAACTCATGATAACTCCATGTGTGTCCGAGGAGAATTACACATGTTTCCAGTGGAGACTCGTGTTTGGAAATATGCTCGCAGATCCTGATACCTCCCAGGCCAACCTTTCGGTCCGTAGTTCAGAACTTAACCATTTCCACGACCCAGGAACTCGGAACAATAGCAGATGTAGATAAAAAGGCAAATGGAATTCCTTCAATTCAGAAACATTTTTTATTTTTCAAAGTCAATATGGTGAAACATTATTAGTACATGTAAGGTACAGTAAGCCTCAGAATGTTCGTGAATTACACTTCCTAGTAGTTTATGAAAACTGTTATTATCTGAAGTCTTGGTGTGCATCTTTGTATGACAACAGTGAACCCACTACCAGAAGATTTAATTTTTTTAAAATGTCATCACCTTTCCCCCCTTAGAGCCATCTCAACATTTGCCTCTCTTTAGTGTTTTTAATGATCTCGGAGGACTATCTTAGATGCACTCTCTCTTCAGAATTATAGTCCACACAGCAGAGCCAAGTGTTTAGATGGCTTGAGGGTGAATTTGAACACAAAAACATTTTCCTTCTGGGCAAAGTAATAAAATGGCATTCTTGCTCCTCCCACTATAAGTCAAACTGAGGTCAGTCCCCATCCCTGTATCTGTTTAAATAAACTGGTCCAGCTGTTTGTTTCGAAAATGCCCTTTGACCTTGTGTCTCATCTTCTCTGCTCTTGTAGCAAAATGCTCTTACCAGAATGCTTACTTTCCTTTATGGAAATTATCAAGATAAAAAAACAACACTAAACCAAAAGGGAAAAAAAAACCCTTAGATTTAATGTGAACATAAATGAACATACTCCCTTCTTGAAACACAGTTGATTTAAGAGAGAACAGTAAACTTATTTTAAGCTCTTACATATATTTTTATATATGTGTATCTACATGCAAACATGTTTGCACATAGAGAGGAACTGTGTTTTAAAGAGAATGCAATATAGATAATGACAAAATTCCACTTGCCTTGTACAATAAAAATATTCACCCACAGCCACAAAAGTTTGAGATGAAATATATCAGTGAAATACACGCAATCTGTAGAACTTTACATGTGAATTAGTGAGGTCTCAGAATAATTAAAGAGGTGAGAGCAAAGTTTTGCAGTGTTACTTAGTGATCACCAAATAGCATAGCTTGTAAACTCTGATGTCTGTATCATGC